AGGATATGTGCAACCTGTCGACCATATCAATGATATTATTCTTCCCGACGAAACGCCATGTCAGATTGCCGCAATCACTCAGGCGTCTGAGCCATCAAGCTCACCAGCCTTCGACAATGCTATTGACGCAGACCTTTCCCCCTCGCATCGCAGCCAACTTGTTGCTCTCCTTAACAAGTTTCGCTCTTCTTTCGACTTTCAGAAACCTGCTTTGGGCCGCACCACAACTGTCACTCATACTATTGACACCGGCTCACACTCGCCTCTGCGACAGCGTCCTTACCGCGTTTCTGCCGAAGAGCGCCGCGTCATTACGGAGCAAGTAGATGACATGCTTAAACGTGGAGTCATACAGCCTTCTCAAAGCGCTTTGTCGTCACCCGTGGTTCTGGTAAAGAAAAAAGATGGCACCGTTCGATTTTGCGTGGACTATCGCCGCTTAAACAAGACTACAAAGAAAGACGTCTACCCGCTACCACGAATAGACGATGCTCTTGACTGTTTACAAGGCGCCGAGTACTTCACATCCTTGGATCTGCGTTCTGGGTATTGGCAGGTGCCAATGGCTGAATGTGATCGCCCTAAAACAGCCTTTGTAACGCCGGATGGCCTGTATGAGTTCAAAGTCATGCCATTTGGGCTCTGCAACGCGCCTGCGACGTTTGAACGCATGATAGATGCCATATTGCGGGCCCACAAGTGGAAAACTTGCTTGTGTTACTTAGATGACATCGTAGTCTTTTCAGCTGATTTCCCGACACATCTTCGTCGTCTCCACGAGATTCTGACGTGTCTAGCTTCTGCAGGCCTACAACTTAACATGTCTTGTAGTTTCTGGTCCTTAGCAGATAATACAGACTAAATAAGCGAAGTGCTTACGCGCAAACATCTGAAGCACGGCTACAGCGCGTCAAGCACACGCGAGCGTCGCAGTGGATGCTACGTTTCGCGTGCTCCTCTTCAAGATTGGTCGATCGCAGCGCCGCCGCTGCTGGTGACGCCGCCGGAGTCACGCGGAAGCTGCCGCCCGCTTCACTGCCCCGTCTAGTACACTGTAGCAATGCTATTCGGCAACGAACCATGACTGTGTGAGGTTGTTTTATTTTGTAAGAGGATGCGATGTCTTCCGAGTGTGCAAGCTGAGATGCCAGCAATGCTATTAGGCAACGAACCATGACTGTGTGAGGTTGTTATTTTGTAAGAGGATACGATGTCTTTTCGAGTGTGCAAGCTTACATGCCAGCACTGCTATTAGGCAACGAACCATGACTGTGTGAGGTTGTTTTTTGTAAGAGGATACGATGTCTTCGGAGTGTGCAAGCTGAGATGCCAGCAATGCTATTAGGCAACGAACCATGGCTGTGTGAGGTTGTTTGTTTTGTAAGAGGATACGATGTCTTCCGAGTGTGCAAGCTGAGATGCCAGTAATGCTATTAGGCAACGAACCATGACTGTGTGAGGTTGTTATTTTGTAAGAGGATACGATGTCTTCCGAGTGTGCAAGCTGAGATGCCAGCAATGCTATTGGGCAATGAACCATGACTGTGTGAGGTTGTTTTTTGTAAGAGGATACGATGTCTTCCGAGTGTGCAAGCTGAGATGCCGTACGTGGGGGAGCCTGAGTGCCGATGGCTCGTTCACCCCATGTGTCGTGAATCGTCGTACGTCGCGTGCGGGCCGCACGCCGGATCGGACGCTGAATCGCACTATGTGTTGAGCGCTTAGCCTCGCTACGTCAACCGTGTGCGTCGTCATATCGTGCCGGACGCACAACTTATCGAAGTGCAAACACCGTTTGTTCTCACAAGCTGCCCGGCGCTGAGCAATTGCTTCGAGCTATCAACCACGATGTCCCCCGATAGTATGTGGCCTACAGAGTGGAAACTCGTGGCCGGGCCTTTCACAAGCGGAGGTTCTGCCACGCAGTCTCGATACGAGTGCTTGCAGGGAGGCTACTTCGCCGTCGTCACCATCGCCCGCTGCCATTCTTGGAGCTGGCTCCCCTGAAGTAGACGACTCTGTAGTTCGGAAAGTCGGATGATGATGATGGTCCAAACCTATGATGCTACGAACCACTGTTAACTAAGGCTCAAAACATCGCTGCGTCGCCATGTTTTTGTCGACGACAGAGAGACTTATTGGCTGTCTTAAAGTGACATCAGCTGCACAGTTAACGGGAACGTGAGCTGGGAACCGAAATTGCGCTCTTTATATTCATCGAGCTCAGACGATCAATTGAGCCGAGGTATAGTATTGAATGGACTTCCAGGACTCTGAAAACACACATAGTTTAAAAATTATTAGAGAATTTTCACGACCCTTTAAGACAGACTAGAAATGCAGTTAGGCCTAACCTGCCAAGACTCATCATGACCGAGTTACTAGCAATGAAGACAAATACATTTTCAGGTGTTGCTAATGGCAGCAACCAGATCACCACTTCCAGAACGTAAGCGGACGTCAGAGTAACCTTGCAATGACGCGCGGATGTGAGCCCTGGCCGTTAGCCGGCTGCGCGCGCTCCTTATGAAACGCGCAATCGGTCCTTGTCAAGTGTGAATTGAGTTACTATCAAGAAAAAAACGTCGTCCTTATTGTGACTTACCTCGTCTGCAAATTTAAAAGCTTTTCATCTTTACAACACAAGCTTTGCTTTAGCATTTGCTGCCACTGTGGGAACTTGCACAAGCCTGACGGACTTTTGTCATCTTTGATTTCCTGGCCGCAAACCAGAAACATCGTATCACACGTGGTGCTCTTGGATCAGTGGTTGCCTGTAATATTTTCGACCCCAAATCTTCATGTGGTCTTGTACAAATCTTGTACAAACTTTCCGCGACAACATGCGAGCTGCAAGCTAGGCCTGATCACTTCGTGCTTTTCGATGGCGGTTGCGGTTGATCGATTACAGTTTGTAAGGAATCAACATAACTCTTTTCAGTGTCTCTACATCAAGGAAGCATGGGTGGCGCTTGTAACACTTGAATGGGGTTTGTGATGTGATTGAAATGTCTTAGATATGGGGGTGCGAGCCTGTGAAATCGAAACAATCAATACCGTTCAGCACATTAATAATCTATGTGGCCCGAAACGTAATCGACGAATTTCATGATGGAGCTTTGCTTTCGCAGTTTTTTTTTTTGTTGCGTTCATCTCATTGGCAACACGGGTATTTGGGAATTTCGGAAATTTGAAATGCATCGCCTGCTTCGATTCTCGGACATGCCAGACTGCATGCTCAACAAATTTTGCACTATTTTAGCTATGAAGGAGGTTGTTTCAGCTTTAACGCTGTTACAGATTGTGGGTTGAGGAACACGAACGTTTATTTATGCCAGACCACACTCCGCCGGCCAACACCAACTGAGCACATGCGTATCAAAACAACTCAGGACCACTTCAACGCCGCCAGGTGAAGCGGCCACACATCCCATGTTCGTAGCTGTCTTTCCTGTTACCGCCAAACCTAGCGGCCACAGTCACACTACACAAACCCCCCTCCAAGTTTGAACTCAGCAGTCAGCCAGGGCCAGTACGTAGTCTCTTAGATGGTGCGGGGTTCCCCGAGCACGCTGCGAGCGACGAAGGCACAGTGGTGGCACTAAAGGCTCGCCATTTGCCTCCACTGGGACAGTCAGTGGAACGGTTCCGCCCTCCCGTGGGGGCACACTGCTAACCACAGGAGTCAGCTGCTCCCCAGGTGCGTCTGGCTCCACAGGGGCTGAACTCGAGCCTTCAGGGGCCACCGGGACAGAACTCGAGCCTTCAGGGGTAGACGTTGACATCGGTCGTCTTTCAGGCTGCGGTCTTTCCAGTTCTGCACCCGCCGTTTGGGTAGGCCCGACCGTCCGGCGACGGAGTTGGTCCACATGCCTGCGCAGTACTCGACCATCAGGGGCCGTGACCTCGTAAGATATTGGTCCGGTTGCACGGGAGATCACTGCTGGAATCCACAGAGGCCCCTGAGCATAGTTACCTGCGAAGACAGGGTCTTCAGGCTAAAACGTGCGTGGTTTGGACGGGGAATCTGCCAACCGTGTGGACTTCTCTGGGGCCCGATCAGGGTGCAGGCGGTCCAACATCGTTGACAACTTGCGGCCCATCAGGAGCTCGGCCGGGGATCGCCCCGTAGTCGTGTGTGGGGTTACGTGCTGCTGCAGTGTGAAATCTGCCAGGCGCCGTGCCCAGTTCCCCTGGATGATGCGAGATAGGCCTTCCTTGGTAGTGCGTACCATCCTTTCTGCCTGGCCATTCGTAGATGGGTGGAATGGTGCCGAAGTTACCTGGCGGATCAGATGCTGTCCAGGAACTCTCGAAACTCTGTGGACTTAAACTGAGCTCCGTTGTCTGAGACAATGGTGTCTGGGAGACCATGCGTGGCAAACAGTTTCCGTAATGCACTTATTACTGTCTGTGACGTCATAGAGGATGTTGGGATGACCTCCAGCCACTTTGAATACGAATCCACGACGATAAGAAGGTCTGTCCTTGGAAGGGACCGGCAAAATCCATATGGAGGCGGGACCATGGGTTCCGAGACGCCTCCCAAGGGTGGACGGGTGCTCGAGGCATCTCTGGCCGCGTCTCCTGACAAGAGGAGCAGCATCGGACCCATTCTTCGATGGCAGCATCCATGCCTGGCCACCACACATAGCTGCGGGCAAGTGCCTTCATCCGGATAATACCAGGGTGCCCAGAATGCAGTGCTTCCAGCACCCGGAACCGCAGCTTTTGTGGAATCACCACACGGTCACTCCAGAGTAGGCAATCCTTGTAGGCAGTCAGTTCGTGCTGCCTTGATGTGAAGGCAGAAAGCTCTGGGCCCATGCTGCCCTTTGGCCACCCCTTCCAGACCCAGTTAAGAACACGTGAAAGGGTGCGATCTTTGGCAGAGTGGGTGGCAATGTCCGCTGCGTGGAGGGGTGGTTCTGGCAGCGCATCCAGGAGCATGACAACCTCTGCGGGAGAGGGGTCATCGTGGCACTGGTGCTGTAAGGGCAGTCTGCTGAGGCCGTCCGCATGGCCCAAGTGCCTCCCAGCCCGGTGGAGCAGCGTATGTTGGTATCCATTCAGGAAGATAGACCAGCGCAGCATCCGCGGAGACAGCATCTGTGGTGTCTGGCGGTCAGACGTGAACAACCCGAGCAGTGGCTTGTGGTCCGTCTGGATCTGAAAAGGCCGGCCAAACAGGTAGTCGTGAAACTTTTTGACGCCTGCAACCACGGCAAGTGCCTCCTTATCGATCTGTGCATAGTTTCGCTCTGCACTCGACAGGGTCCTTGAATAAAAGGCGACCGGTGCTTCTGTGCCGCCGGGCAATCGGTGGCTCAACACAGCTCCTATTCCGTATGGGGACGCATCACAGGCAAGGATGAGAGGTTGCTTCTCATCATAATGCGTCAAGACTTGATTGGATGCCAAGAGTTCTTTCACGCTTTCAAACGCTCTTTGTTGTGTTTGGCCCCACACAAAGGTGGCCTTCTTGTCCAAAAGTCGGTGTAGTGGTTCCGCAACAGTGGCCTTGTGTGGCAAGAACGCATGATAGAAGTTCACCAGTCCCAGGAATGCCTGGAGTTCGGTCTTGTTTGACGGGCGAGGTGCACCAAGAATGGCCTGTGTTTTTTCTGGGGTCGGATGGATGCCCTCAGCGTCTATTCGAAACCCCAAGAACTCGACTTGGGCGACACCCAGTGGGCACTTCTCTCTTTTACCTTCAGCCCAGCATCCTGGAAACGGCGAAGGACCTCGCGAAGGCGAGAGAGCAATTCTTGACCTGACGCCCCTGCAATTAGCACATCATCAAAATATGGAATTACACCTGGTATTCCACGTATGAGGGTTTCCATTAGATTTTGAAAGATGTCAGGTGCGACACTGACACCAAACTGCAATCGGCGTACCCTGAACGCCCCACGATGCGTTACGATGGTCTGTGCTGCTGCAGACTCATCGGTGACAGGCAGCTGCTGGTAAGCCTGGGCCAAGTCGAGCTTTGCAAAGATGGTTCCGCCTGAGAGAGAAGCCAATACGTGGCTGACCACCGGCACCGGATATGCATGCTGCTGGAGGGCCTTGTTAATGGTACACTTGTAGTCTGCACAGATGCGGATGTCTCCATTTCCCTTCAATGGTGTGACAATAGGGGTTTCCCACTCCGCGCAGTCCACTGGCTCCAGAACACCCTGCTGTAGCAGCTTGTCAAGCTCGGCATCGATCTTTTGGCGCAGTGCAAAGGGCACCCTCCTTGCCTTTAGGCGGACTGGCACCACCTCCGGGTTCAAGGCCAACTTCACAGGTGGTCCCTTGTAGCACCCAGTCCCCCGTCAAAGACAACAGCAAACTCCTCAAACAGCTTGTCAAATGCCGTGGCCAGTTCGTCCATGCGATGCACTCCGGTGACCTTAATTCCTAATGCTGGAAACCAGTCTAGTCCAAGGAGGCTTTGACGCTGCCCTTTGACAATGACAAGTTTCAGTGGGCCAGCAAAACCCCTGAATTTTACTGTAACTGTGGCCATTCCTTGCACTGCTATGCAGTTTCCCTGATAGTCCTTCATAACAACGTCGAGTTGCTTCAACTTCGGGATGCGCCCATTCGGGAAGATTTGCCTGGCCGTAGCCTCGGAGATGAGCCAAAACGTGGATCCCGAGTCCACCTCCATCTCGCATTCCACACCTTCGATTTCGACAGCAACGTGAATCTTCTTTGTCCCGGGCTGGGGCACATCGTGGATGGCGGTCTCCGTGAGGTTGTCGCAGTACGAGGTACTCGCACGCGGAGTGGTCCGCGAATGTGTCCGTCCTGCCGTTTGTCTCAAAATTTGCACGGCGGTCCCGCTTCCGTTGAGACCGGCAGACCTTGGCTATGTGCCCTGTTTTTCCGCAACCTCGGCATTGGGCATCACGGAAACGACACAACCGGCGCTCGTGCGGCCCCCCACAACCGGCACAAGATCCGCCCCCCAGTCCTGCGTCCCTGCGTTGACTAGTGTCTGCACGTAACTGACGAACACATTCCTCGAGGCCGTCCTGGTCCTCTCCACAGTCGGCGACTGTTCCCTGGTGTACTGGCTCGGTACGCGGCGCGGTTGCGACTGGCTGGCCTCACGGTCGATGGCCTCAGCGGCGGTAGCTTCCTCGACGGCGCAGGCGAGCGACACTTCTTTTTTCGCCAAAATGCGCCGTTTAGCTTTATCGTTCCTCAGGCCAAAAACGAAACGGTCTCGGAGTGCCTTATCAAGGTCAACGAAGTTGCAGTGCTGTGCAGTCGTTCGCAGAGCCGCGAGGTATGCAGCGACGGACTCACCGGTTGCTTGCTCTCTGCGATGGAACTCGTATCGCCGCGCCAATTCCGGTGGTTTCGGCGAAAGATGATTTCGAAGGGCAGCGATGATGTCCTCGTACGGCGTATCTTTCAGCTGGTCCGGCGCGACGAGGGCCTTGGCCAACTGGAACGTCGCGGCCCCGCAACGGCTGAGAAACGTCGACCTTTTCTTTCCAGCGTCCGTAATGCCCTGCGCCTCCAGGAAGAATTCGAACCGCTGAGCATAGTCTTCCCACTCGTCCGGCTGTGACAAGTTGAATTGCTCGAGGGAGCCATTGCTGGAGGCCTCCCGTTGTCCGGGGTTCCGCCCGTCCTCCATTGCCGCGCTGGACGTCATGCCGACCTATCCCATCCTCGTCGCCAGTGTTACAGATTGTGGGTTGAGGAACACGAACGTTTATTTATGCCAGACCACACTCCGCCGGCCAACACCACTGAGCACATGCGTATCAAAACAACTCAGGACCACTTCAACGCCGCCAGGTGGAGCGGCCACACATCCCATGTTCGTAGCTGTCTTTCCTGTTACCGCCAAACCTAGCGGCCACAGTCACACTACACAACAAGCGCGAATATTCATGGCTTTGGCGACGTATACATCAGTGGTCAATGCTGTCGTCGAATATAAAATTTTCAGAAATTTCACCCCACGTAATAGGCGCAGCTCGTACTTGGAGCAGGATTTTTGTCGAAGAAAAGTGCGGCTCTATTATGCAAGTAAATACAGTAACCCCCTCCCCCCTCCCCTCGCAGCGGTCTTCCGAATTTTCATGCTCCTATAACAAAGTGCTTCATTAGGCTGGTTGGTGCTGCATGGTACTGCATGCTCCTAAGTTGGCAGGTATGCGAATATATTGTTACAACAGACACAGGGCCACATCCAGTGCCACTAGCTGTACCTATAGCTTCATCATCACTAGAGACCGGATTTTAGGCAAATGCCTGTTTTGTTCATTGTGCTCTCATCGTGCCATTTTGATATATGAGCAAGAATTAGAAGTCAAGAAGGGCTTATATAGTGTCTTTATAGTGCCTATAAATTCCTTTTTAGGGAATTTTCACCTTAATTTTTATAAGTGTCTATGTAGAAGTGCCTCCTGTGTACTCAATTGCAATAACCAGTGTTATGGAAATATAAAAATTTATTTTGATTTCTGAAAGGCCTATTTTCAAGTTCAGGGTCTATATGAAGGCTATCTAACCTGAAATTTTTCTTTCGAGTGCACCTGGAGACTGGTGTTCATGTTATCGGTCAAAATTGAGCTTTCAGAACTCTATGGGATGCAACCAATACTTCTCAGAAGTTCCTTTCAGCACTGTCAATTGTACAAGACTCCCAAGCATTAAAAGGTGATTAGCCTCTACACATGTATTCATCCGGATCATGCCATCTCCTCGACATCTCCCTGCGTCCGCTCGCCTGCGTAGATAACAGAAGGTGCTTCTGTGCAGCCGAGGGATGGCGGGGAACGAATGTGAAACCTGGCTGTGTCATCAGGGAAAAGTAGAGTGTGCGTAAAAAATTACATGTTCACGTGGTTGTTGTTTTGTTTTGTTTGGCTTTTTACTTCTTGAAAGGTGCTTCATTTTAGTTAGACAGTGGAAACTATTGCGTGCCCAATGAAAAGCTTAGTATCATCAGAATTTTTCAATTGGTTCATCACGAGCCACAAAAGCATAATGTTAGGGGTGAGCTTGAAACCTTTGCTACTCACCCTGTGTAGATTTTGCAAGCCATATTCTCTGCCCTCATCGGTATCAGAGCAACTCGGAGCCGGAAAATCACACGACACAGACACATCAACACGTCATGCGCATGCAATATTATATTCGCATGTTATGCCTAAGCGAGGTTGTGCACGCAAGCTTTTTGGCATTCTCTATATTGTACTGCCTGTTTCTGTGAGTTGGATTCTTCTGTGTGCACACGTTTGGAGAGGCTGGCATAGATCATATATCTTCACCACAATGCACAGCGTCGCAGTGCTGGGACGGTGCACCAAGCGTGTTCAGGGCTTGCACTGGCACGATGCGAGTACGATGAGAACATAAATGCAAATGACATGGAAGCAACTTAGTGTTGCATCTCGTTTATAAGAAGTATACAAAAAATAACACGCACAGATTGTGTTTGTACGTTCTAATATTTATATCAACCTTCATGTTTCTAGGTATTCAAAAACAGGTCACTACTTACACATGCCGCCTTGAATTATGCTCGCAGTGTTACGCACTACTTTGAGTATGCGGGACCATTCCTTGTTGTGTGTCACTTCGACCAATCAAGGGCATGCGCCCTTGAGATGAAGGGCAAGCAGCGTTCAGTCTGGCTTTTCACCTCTTTCCAAGGCACGTAGAGTTTTAAGTCTTGGCATACAAGGTCATCAGCAGCCTGCCCAAATGCTCAAACTTGGTAACGGGCACATAGACAGAGGAGAAATGGACTCTGTGCGACTAGACTCGGTTTTCGCGAGGCTGAAAGGGCCTATTAGCGGTCTGGCTATTGGCTTTTGTACGGCTCTTCTTAAAAGAAAGAGACCCAGGAGTGTGTTTCTTTGACAGTGCACACTTATCTCACTATGTTTAACAGTAAAAGGAGAGACCATGTTATGCAAACCATGCAGGAAAAAAAACTGCATGGGGATGCGAACATTGACACCTTTGTATTATCATGCAATAAAACATTTCTTTTTGCTTTCCTATCATATACACAGATCACGCATGTATTTCTTCGAAAATTTGAGTTTTTGTTAAAATTTATTGTGCCTGTATTTAGGATTTTGGGCACCTAAAACTGTTTTTTGTCTGCCTGTTTCCGGCGCTTAAACTCGACGTTTTAGTGTCTCTAAATCCGGCCTCTAGTCATTACACGCGCCTGTGTATGCAACTGCGTCGTGGAAAACGTGCACCATTTGAAACTCTCTTGAAACTGCATTAAATTGAAAGACATGGTGATGAGCTTTGACTACAAAGATGACTGCACCTTAGCTTCAAGCTCTGAAGAAAACAATGTTTTGTGACAGCCCGGAACAGCTACAGCCGTTCGGAGGTTGGCTTCATTTACGGCCTCAAGTGTTCTCCGCCGCATGCGCGTAGCTGCTGACCTTTGTGCGCAATCTGAGAGCTACTTTTGTTATATGCGAGGCCCACATGCCACTCAGGCGTATGTGTGCAAAGATTTTCACGACAATAAGGCCATTTGAAGCGCATCTCGTTCATGAACTACAAAGTTTGCGAGACATTTAGGACTGCGCGCTATTTTTCCTGTCGTTGGGGGCATAGCTCGGCTCTTTTTTCTGTGCGCCGTAGCTGAGCACATGCAAGGTACCCCTTGTATACACCATGACTCTGATTGACAATGAAGATAAAGATAATGGACAGCGACTAGCTTGTGCTGTCATTTGTATAAAATACGTGAGTTAACAAATTAACAGTGTTTTATCAGAACAACCTGCTTCTTGACTACCTCCCACGTGGTTGCGTGCCACAGATTCCAGGCTCTTCTTTCCTTCCTTGCTTTTCTTGTGTAGTATGTGATGTCTCGATATTCTCTGCTATGCATTTTATATGACTGGAAACAACCTATAACCACCAGAGGAATATTTCATATACAACAAAGACAAAACGAAATTCACAGCTCAATGCAGTGTACCATTTATGACCAATAAATATTATATAATTGTACACTGCTTTGTCACTTACATGCATGAGTTGTCAATGTCATGGGTGATTTGCGGGCAACACAAAGTGATCCCACCGCTTCGCCTCCTCGTCATCATTCACTTCATGGATATGCTGGGATTGCTTTTTCGACTGCTCTTTGCAAGGATACAAATAAATATGCTTGGATGGTTATTTTGGAATGCCAATCCATGCAGCAAGAGTTTGCTCAAGGACATAAGTGACGAGAGACGAACTAGTGAACTTAGTTGGACATCTGATGTATATAGGCGTAGTTCACATCACGGGCATCCATACATATTGGAGAACAGCATGCTCTCCTCGTTACAAAAAATAATACTGAACGAAAGGTTTATTCCATAGCGTGAGTGATGAAGTAGTACAGTGCTTCAGATGTGTTAATGGCAATATTTTGTTGAGCATTTATTATTTGAGGGGTGAAGCTTCTTAAAGCGGCACTCGTTCGTCCTTCGTAGTAGTGTGTAACATGTCTTACGTTTTGACCTGCAAGGTGGTGCCGTTGGGAGATTCCTCCTGTGCGTTGTTGAACAATAAAAAGTTTGCAGCGTGCACTTTAACTAAAGCCGAATTCTCCTGCCTCTCATTCCCCATTAGCAGTCATTGGCATGTACATTGAGCACTATCTGACAAGAAAGGTTTGCTACGTAATATTCGCTGGGCGCAACCTCCTTGCTTTCAAAAAGGTTTAGCGAGCGTTGGGCCGCAGTGCCATGAATACAGTGAATTAGTATATACCATGAGCTCGAGGTGGTTAAATGTGGGAAGTAGACACGAAGCGCAAGCCGTCAGAAAGTGTGCGTGTGCCACCTCTCGTTTAGTCCTTGGAATGTCTGCTGGATAGCGGTGCTTCTATATGCCAAATATACGATGTAAAGATGCGAGATGGTGGTACTTGGAGTGTTGACTAGATGGACGAACAGACACATAGACAGATGCATGAACGAATTTACGGATGGCTGCACGGACGGATGGACGCATGGACGGATGCAGGGGCAGATGAATGGACGAATGCAGGGATGGGCGCACGGATAGACATGCGGACACACGAACAGACACATGCACGGACGGGCAGATGGACGCACGGACGGTCACAGAGACGGACGCATGGACGGACGGAAGCAAGAACGAATGGTCGGGCAGATGCTTCGCCCCACTCTCCATCATTCATTCCGTAGATATGCTGCCATTTTTTTATACCATTGCGTGGTTATTTATCTCCAAAATGTATATTCTGAAGTCTCGTTATTTTGAATGTGTTTGCATATAGTATAGTGTTCTTTTATTGATCTATTTATTATCTAGCCACAGAAAATTTTACACTTTCAAGTTTTAAACATTGTACATTATTTTTTTGCATGTGTAAAACCCTTATTTCTTTCAAAAAGCATCTTATTAAGCACAATTTTACATGCTGAAATGTGTGCTGGAGGACTCTTCAGACTGCCAAATCTTTCTTTCTGAGGCTTATGAAAATAAAACATTTTCTTATCGTAACGTAAGAGTTAAATGTTAAATGTAGCTGCGCTGTTTTATTTACCTCAGAAGTGTGTTTTAGACCCGTTTTGCCAGCAACCCCAAAACTGGCACCCTGTCAAAGTGAATAAACAGAAGTCGGATCACCGTATTCTGAACACTTTTCAAGATAATAACATGAATAAGTGTTACCAAACAGCATACTCGATAAAATTCAGGGTCTGGCTCACAATAGTCTTTTGCTTGGATGAAAAATGATGAAGGGGTGAATGTAGCTATTATTTTGTTATATCATTTTATCACTGTAAACTGCTAATGGGAAGTGAAAGGGGATTGTGCAGTTTGTTGTGTTCCTTTGCTATGTTCTCATAAAACTTGCTGGGGTTATCTTTGCAGGTTATGTCCTTGGGGCCCCTGGGGGAGCAGCAGGCATCGGTATTTCATCTTATGCCTCTAAGTTGATCAGCCCTCACGAAGCCAGTGAGTGTTGCATTGTCACCCTCTTAAGCACACTTCATCCGACATCCGACAGCAGTTTGTGTCTAAATGGAAGCTGAAGCTATGACATCAGCTCTATAGTATTTTTTTTTCTTTCATCATCCTTGGAGAAGCCTTGAGATGCCTGCCAATGAATGTTTGCACTTTGCTGTTATGGCTCTAGATTATGGCTATGCATGCTGTCGTGTAGGGACAAAATGACCAGCGGAAACATTGGGCCTTACAGTGTCTTGTGGTGCCACTTGCCTTTCCGAGGTGATTTTACTCCTGCGCCAACTGCGCTAAAGTGCACCAACTGAGATTTAATGGGCTATCCTGATAATATCAATGGAAATTGCGCCTAACTGTGCTGAATTCTCGAGCTAGGGGCGTCTGTTACCGACAATAGACAAAAGATGCTGCCTACTGCATAAGTGTTATTTTGATGTGCTTGGTTAAAACCTTCAAAGACTGTGAGCAATACTTGGAGCGGATCGTATCGAATGAACTTGAGGCTGCGGCGAAGGTAATATACTTGCTCAGCTCTTCTCGCACAATCGCTCGGATTGTTTCGTGCAGATCGTCATTACTGAGGGCATGAGCCTTGGAGTAGCGTACTGCTGAAGAGCAGCGGTTATACTGCCTTGTGTGCATTTCAAGTGCCTTCTCGATTGTGGTGGCCTCGGTGAGGAATTCTTCGACCCGCTTGAGCTGGTTGCGCACAAGCCCTGCAAACAACTTTTCTTTAACAGCTCACATAAGGAATTGGACCTTCTTGTCCTCGGTCATGGCAGAGTTGGCGTGGCGGAACAAATGGATCATCTCCTCGACGAATATTCAGACGTTCTCGTAATGAAGTTGCAGATGCGTCTCCAAGATAATCGCAACACGTTTCTTTCGGACGACACTAGTGAACGTGCGGAGGAACGTCGTTTGAAAGACATCCCAGCTTCGCAGCGTGGACTCCCGGTTCTAGAACCACGTCTTTGCGACGTCTTCTAGGTAGAAGTATAGACGGCATAGTTTTTCTTCGGTGTGCCAGCTGTTCAAGGAGGTGGCTCGGTCGTATGTCTCAACCAGGTTTCCGGGTCTTCATTAGATGCTCTATGGAAGCTTTGTGCTCTCTGTTTTGGTGCATCACGATAGCCGCAGGCAGTGACGCAGTGGCAGTCATCGTTGCAGCAGTGGTCGTCATGGTAGACGTGCGAGTCTTGTTGGGTAAAGGGCGGTACTCTAGTGGTAGACCTTGTTGCCTATGGCTGACTCGCTGGTTTTGGTTGGCGTCGGTGTCTTCTCTACGACGTGTACTTGGTTCACGGTTAAAGGGGGAGGTGCGGAACATGGAAAGGAAAGCATCTCCACCAGATGTTACGGGGCCGTTGCGTTGAGGAAGGGAGCAGACAGTAGGTTGAAGATTAAACTGTTTATTCGGCGAACTTGTGGCCACGTAAAAGGAAAGTCAGATTACGGCAAGGCACTGGCACAGATAGCGACGAACTGAGCGTTGGCCGTAACTGACAAGCAGTGAAGCGTGTCGGTATTTAAATACTTGCAATCGAATATTCTAGCATTATCGCTTGCGGCGACGTAGGTTCCAGAATAATCTGTGTCATTCTTGAAGTGGGCGTAATCTTAACAAAACGATCTACGAAAGCCTCGAAGCTTCTCGCACATCGCACAAGCAGTTTGTGCTGAACGTAGCATAACGAGGGGATAACAAAGCTTGAGAAAGGGACGTGGCAATATCACCAACTCCTCCTAACGGCCACTGCATAATGGATGTGCTCCCGGCCCAAAATGTTGCTGTCTCGCATACCATTGTCACTATCATTGACAACTACGTTCAGCTTTCGCTCCTGAACTTTAGTTGTTGACCCAAGTTCTTCCGCAAGCATTTCCTTGGGCCACGTATCCCCACTTAAAGCATACAACGTTATGGCATTAGACCCTGACAACTGCTCGTCCCCTATTGCAGCCAGCCGAGCCAATGCACCTTCCTACGAAATCACGAAAATGATTGTCGCTGATCTTCTGCCCTGTCAGGCTGCACAGCTCCACTACCTACTTATGACTTACTGCAATAGTTTCGACTTCGATGAGTGCCCTTTAGGTCTAATGTCATTCGTGCCTCGTCAAATACATACTGGTGACGCTAGTCCTGTCGAACGACGACCATATCATATTTCTCATTCGGACTGCCAGATCATATAATGAAAAGTCAATAATGTCACGGAATCGTGACGTGGCCAAAGACAGAAAACTTCGTGTTGGAATTTAACTGTTTATTTGGGCGAACCTGTGCCCGGTAAAGGGAAAGCCTAATTACAGCAGCAGTCTTGCACAGATAGCAGTCTCGGACTGATAGCGGCGAACGCAGCGTCGGCCTTCGATCAACAACTGACAAGCGGCGAAGCGCGTCGGCATTCATACCCTTGCCGTCGAATGTTCTAGCGTTATCGCTGGCGGTGGCGTAGGTTCCAGAACAATCTGTACCGTTCGCACAGTGGGCGTGATCTTATCGAAATGATCTACTACAGTCCGGAACCTTCTCGAAACCTGCAGGCGCGGTTTGCACCGAGAATCGTGTGGTGTTTCGGAACGATAACAAAAACTTGTGAAATGGAACGTGGCAATAAGATGCTCTCCAAAGACGTCATGGAGGCCTCCTAAAGTTCATGGGCGTCTTCTGTTGTTTTGGTCAAAAAGAAGGATGGTAGCTGGAGATTTTGCGTTGAATACTGTGCCTTGAACAAGATTACCCACAAAGATGTGTACCTGCTGCCACGATATGGTGACGCCCTTGACTGCGTTCATGGCACGCAATACTTCTCACCCACAGATCTTGGCTCGGGCTACTGGTACATTTTTGCCGACAACTTAGACCAAGAAAAAAACTACCTTCGTCACACCAGATGACCTTTATTGGTTCAAGGTTATGCCTTTTGGGCTGTGCAACGCCCTAGCAACGTTCGAATGCATGATGGACTCACTCCATCGTGGTTATAACTGGTCTATGTGCCTTCGCTACCCCAATGATGTTATTGTCTTTTCCCCAACATTTGAAGGCCACCTAACTCGTTTTTCGGCCATTCTAGCCGTTCTTCGTCGAGCAGGAGTCCAGCTGAACTCTAAAAAGTGCGATTTCAGCCGGCAATAAATCACAGTTCTTGGTTATCTTTAAGTGCTTGTGACAACCGGACCCTGACAAGAATGGTGCTGTCAAGCACTTGGCAGCACTAATCATCATGAAAGCACATGATGATGATGATGATAATTCTAGCTTTTCAAAGACTTCCTGCGACTCGTTCGACAGCTGTGATAGTGCTGATTTGTTAACTGAGTGTTCATTTTTGTCATCGTCATTGGAATGAGCTGTGCTAAATACATTTAAATCATTGATACCAGCAAACATTTGTCTAGTTCAACTTATTTTGGTGCCAGGTCACTGTGGTGCATTTTTAAATTAGATGGCTGGCACAGCCGCCCAAACATTCCTTGATGGTCTGATTATGCCAGTCAAGCCTTTTCAGCCCATGCTGCAGCAGTGAGGTTCAGAAAACATTCCCTTCTTGAGGACTCATTAAACATTACTATACCAAGAGCGACATTGTCGCAGTTGCACTTTGCATAGATGGTCAGCGAGACAGGAACATCTAGGAACACGAAAAACTATTCATGATAATGAAACTCAACGAAAAAAGCCTAAGAACAAAAGATATGCTAATTGTCATATTTGCAAGATGTTTCAGCGCGCGAACAAAGGAAAAAGACAGGGTTGACAGAAAGAGTGCTGCGGGAAGAAGTATTTTTAGCCGAATGCAGTACGCCAATGAGCGTGCGCGGCAAGCAGCCACACTGATTAAACTGGTGAGAAGAGAAGGGCTCTTTCTGTCTACCCTGTCCTTTTTCCTTTGTTCGCGCGCTGAAACATCTTGCAAATATGACTACGCACCAACTTGCCCAAGCTTCCACTCTTGTGCTAAATTTGCTATAACAGTTTCCCCACACACTATATATATATATATATATATATATATATATATATATATATATATATATATATATATATATATATATATACAAGACTAGAATCTAATATTTCCAGAGTTGAAGGTGCGTTGCCTTGACCTAGCTCCGCCGTCGAGTCGTAGAGCTCGTACCATCTTCGAAGCTCGTTGCGTCCATAGTCCCGGCCGTAAGCTGCACAGACGGGTCTCTACCATGTCTGGTCACCGCAGCTTAGGGCCCCCCCACAGCGGTTGTACCGCTAGTCGTTCTTCTGGCTGTGCCCCGCAGCTCACAGGGCGTTGCTGCGAAGGCTGGGGCACGTCTTTCCTAGGAGCTGTGCTTGTGGGGTTTCGGCAAACATCGTGCCGCTTCGACCCCTCGTCCGCGCACGTCTGCGTTCCAAGCCTTGCGCCTCCGCCTGTTCGGGCCACGTTGTCGCTTGTGCCCCCTCTCCTTCGTCTTCCTCTTTTCTAATTTCCATAAATTAGGCTGGCGTTGTTCAAATCAACCAGGCGTCCCTTTGTTGTCCTCTTCTTCATATCTTGTCATATACTCATGACACATGTAAATACAAAGTCGGCATAACAAAATTATGATGCTGTATACCACCATCTAATTTGTACTTAAACAGGTCTGATTTGGTGCAATCTGTTTTGTGTTCTAGCTCTAACAAACCTGAAAATATCGACTATGTTCTACTACTATGTTGCCGTTTCAAAAATCAAAGGAAAAAATGTTTTGAACTTTTATACAAAAAACTAGGAATCCCATTATTATTTGATTTGGCTTGGTGTATTCGAATACTAATGAAGGGCTAGCAAATGGAATCAAATACTTCTAGCATATTTTTTGAATACTTTGAAGCAAAATTGCAGAAGCAGTAACCGCCATATCCACACAGTGAATGATCTGAGGACCTTGCCGGGAGGTGTACACGACATTTCTTGGTTAGACCATTTTTGTAGGAAGGCTTGTTAGCGAGCCGACGCATGATG